GCGTATAGTGTCCAGGCTGATAGAAGAGTTGACTTCTGCACATCTTCCTCTCTCTTCCCCGGCCACCTTAACATTGCTGTGTGAAACTCTGTGAACAGTACAAGTCTGGGGATCCTGTCTCTGGCACTGAGGTGTCCAGCTGTAGCCGCAAGGTCTCCTGGCTGTGCCTTTCTACCCACCATACCCAGATTCCTCCCAGTCACACCTGCATGGTGTGGGGCAGGAGAGATAAGTGCTTACATGGGAGGCAGAGGATGGCAAGGCCAGAACTGTGGTGTTTGGTCTTCTCCTGCCTTCCTGTGTGATCCTGAACCAAACACATTTCCTCTGTTTTATTCTTCAGCTCCTGTTCTTGTTTTCAGGAGGTGTTTGTGGGTGTATTTGAAGAATACCATAGGCTTTGTGAAGTCGAGTTTTTCTGGAAGTGAAATTTTGGAAGTTTCACTTCAATCCACTCCCTTCAGCCCCACCCCAGCCAGTGTTTCTAACTGCTAAGCTGGTTTTGTATCCTGGTTCTCTGTACAAACATCTTGCAATTTTACTTGCGGGAATATTAAGAAATACTGTAACAGCATCTAGTGAGCTGGAGGAGTCAGTCCTCTTTTGGTCTGAAAACCTGACCAGACAGGTTTTTTGCGTGCTGTACTAGATAATTTCTGTTTCCCAGCACCTATAATTTTGTAAAATTTTTTATGCTTGTGCAATAATATCTGTTTAGATATCCCAAAGTTTCCATGTGTACTTAAAGCTGCCTTCTGCCCGCATGGGGTCCTTCCGAGGTTTTTTCCTGTCTGTGACTTGGTGTTAAATGGTCTTGTGTAGAGAGAATCTCAATAGCCTGTAACCCTCTGTTTACTTCTCAGCATGCCTTCAGTGAAAAGCTGTGTTCTGGGTTTAGTAGTGCAGAGTATTCTCACTAGGCCAGTGGTCCAGGAGGATGGCTTTTCATTTGTTGCGCTGAGGTTATTGCTGTGTTAAGACTAATTTTTTGGCTGGCTTCCTTTTTGTGAGGCTTTTGTGGGACTGGTTTTAGATGGTGTTGGTTTGCCAGCCAGTTGCCAGTATCACTTTTTTTTTCCTCCTGCTCTTTTTATTTTTCTCCTCATTCTGTCCAAACACGTGCAAAAAAACTGGCTGAAGTGGTCCTTCAGCCTCCGGGGTGCATAGATGACTTCTTCATTGCTTTGCACATTCTCCTCTTTGAAGATCTTTTTGTGTCCTTTTAGGAACAGGTACACATCTTTTTAGGAGTGGTCATATCATCATTTCATAAATTATTGAGTTCTCCCAATGTAATTTACTTCTTATTGTTTTTCTTTCTTTAACTCCCTCCCTCCCTCAGAGAGCTTGTTTGCTTGATGATTAGTTTTCACTTAAAACGTTTTCTTTCTGTGCCAAAACACTTCAAAGCCTTTTTCTATTTTTGCCTTTTTTTAATTTGAATGAAATGGAAGATATTCTACATCAACTTTCTTTTTGATAGTAAGAGGAATGAACCTTTTTCTAAAATCTAAGACAGCAATCCCTAATTGTTCTTCAAGGCTTTTTCTGTATTTTTTTTCCCAGTTTAACTTGAATGTATATGATTTAGACCCATGATCAGTATTTCAGATGGGGAAAAGAATGCCATGCTGCTTATTTTGTAATTTTTTGGATTTTTTTTGGTAATTTTTTTGTGTGTATGTAATGTATTTGATCTGGAAAACTTAACTAAATGAATATATATTTGTTCCTATAAAAGGCCAGTTCATTGGGGGGGAGAGTTTATCACTCTCAGAATAATACCAGAATAGAATAGTATCTTCACTTTGTTAAAGTTATATTTATTACATTATATAATCAGTATAGAGTGGATTTGAAAAATAAGGTGAACTGTGATATTACAAATGCTTTAAATGTTGGGATTTAATAAAACTTTATTCACTTATCAAGAAAGATGTCTCTAATGATGTGTTATTTTGTACCAATATTTATTGTAGCAGAGCCTGATAAATAGTTTTAACACACTAATTCTACTTACCAACAAAAAGCTACTGACAATAAATTTTGACTAGTTTTGGACAGTCTTACCCCCGTGCTGCTAAGTGAGGCATAGTGGAGGGTGGGAAAGGTAAGGCCACTTAAATGTGCCTAATGCCTCTAGGGGGATGAAGTGCAAGCTGAAGAGATGAAAAAGTGATGAAGAGCAAAGAACCACTGCGAAGGTTGAGAAAGGATACTAAGAGGTTTATTTCAGAAGGAGCAGAAGGAAACAAGAGTGGTTTGTGGTTCTCAATTTTGATACTTAAGCTTTTAGGTAGAGAAAGGGCCTTGAAAGGAGTGTTCTGTGTTTGAATGGTCTGTGTAAGAGATGCTAGAAATCCATATTTGTTTTCTTTCCAAAAAAACCAACACCACCAAAACAAAACAAAAACACCCCCAAAAACATCAAACAAAACCTGAAACTAAACACTAAACCTTATTTTGCTGTTTTGTAAATTTGGAGAATGAGAGATTGTAGCAACTGTGCTGAAGCTGTGATTATTTTTTTGTTATGCTATGCTGAGAGATGTACACATTATAAAATCTTGAAAGAGCATTAAGGTTGCAAAAATAAGTTCTTGATTTAAGAAAGGACAAACTCTTTAGTTCTTCAGTTTTCCCTGTGAGTATGTTCTGAGCATTTAAGTTGCAACATTATACCATTGCCTCTAAGGGTCTGAATTTTCAGCTGGGTGCTGATATACGATGTGATATGAGCGTAAGTACTCTGGAAGCTTCCTCCCTCTCCTCATCCCCCGTAATAATACCATATCAGGAAGTGTATGTGTAAGGAAGTTGACTTACAGTTATGCTGCCAGCTTTAAAAGCATGACCTTTATATGGTAACTGGTTCAATGAGGATCACTCTCATCATTAGTATCTTTGTGTTGTACCTGGTTCTGAGTTTCATTTAGTCATGATCATTCTGAAGTGCACAGTTCTGCATTAATACTGAAAATTGTCACAGTGCCCTAGAGTAAAAAGCCAATGTGAAACATCTGCTTGGTGTTCCTTAGGGTGAGTGGTTTCCCTGGAGAATGGATACATATGATACAACTCCATCCCAGTGCAGTATGCCCAGGAATCAAGATGCGGGTTATAAATTAAAGATCAGCAACATGTCATTTAGATTTGGATTGAAAGGAAAGTAAGCAGATTGTAGATACCTCTGCATCCTCTGCAGCAGTAACTTACTTGATGTTTAACAGCTTGGAATTACTACAACGACAACATAATTTCCCAGGGAAACTCCCAGTCTTTGGGTTACTTTTGTTCCAGAGCAGTTGGTTTGTATTTCTTGGCTCTGTAAGGGCCTGGTTTTTGGACACCTGGCACATCCATACTTTCATTGAGTCAAGATTTATTGCAGCTTTCATGGAGCAATTTGTTAAGAATGAGTCCACGTTTCTGGAGTTGGGGCTTAAATAGGTTCCCCTATGCAGTGCTTTGCAGCCCCGTGAGGTTCTTATTTCCCTGCCAGCCCAGGGCTGTATCTTCTCACATCTGTTGTTACACTTTCACCACACAGACAGTTTCACTCCTTCACCGCTGACAGAATGGTTTGGATTGCTGTGTGCATTTAAGACATTTTCTACAACTACAGTTGTTGTTCTCTGTGGAGAAATGCCTTTATCACAGTTGCAGCACACTGTAGTCTTCCTCCTCCTTGGACTTTGTAGTCTTCAAATGTTTATAGAGTGTTGGCTCACTCAGTTGCTCAGTTTAATGGCAGCCTAGTGATAGGCGTGCTTACTTGGCAATTTTGTCCTCCAGTTTTCAGGAGAGTTGTTTTTTTCTTTGAACTCTTGTTCTTTTGGCCTGCAGCACATTGCACTGGCTCTTTTATGCTGTCTTGCTGCACTGAGATTGTGGTCTTGGTTTGCAGTTGTTCATTTGTTGGCCAGGAGTCCCAGTACTTGCAGCTTTATGGTTATACGTGTCTGCTGTATTTCGCTTTTTCAATTCCTTTCTCTTTACCTGTATTTGTACACACTATTGTAACAAAATTGTTCAGCAGTTAACAGGAAGAAGTGGTTTCATGGGAAAGTTCTTCAAAAATAGGTGTTGGTCTGTTGTTGGAGGCTTCATGAATGAAGATGGAGAGTGGAATTCACATTGTATTGTTGGAGAAGGCTCTGTGCAGATTTTAGATCTACAGGCTGTTATCACTGCCTTACAAGAGTGGGAAAATGATTCCTTAAACTTAGTTGTGGATTCCTTGTATGTTGTTGGGGTGGTAAAGCAAGTGCATCGATCCATTTTGGGTCATGTCTCAAATCCAGTGGTGTTTGCTGCTTTTACACACCTCTGGCATGTGTTGCAACAAAGGAGTAAACCTCTTTTTGTTCTGGATCCAGAGGCGCAACAGAGAAAAGAGGAGAGAGCGTGGAAAATTCTACAGCCTTGGTTACGGAGAGCACATCCGAGTGCTGATCTGTTACCAAGAACAGTTTTGTTGCACAGCATCAGTAATCCACAGAGACAACAGGCATTACTGATCCAGGTGATATCTGAGGAGCAAAAGAGGGAGCTAACATGATCTTGCTCGGTACATGGTTTAAGGTGTCGACCTTGGATTAGAGTGCAGTGTGCACTCTGTCATGAAAAGGTGTGGAAAGTAACTAGAAATCGGGAAGTAGAATATCACTGGCTGTGCATCATCTGTAAACGTAAAGTCCTTGAGTATTCATACGAGGACTGGTTGCAGTCTTTTATTGATTGGAGTTTGTGGAGGGTGTGCTTCCCCATACGGAAGCTTTTGCATTGCAGAGACATTTTGACTTGTTAAGTGCTATTTGTTTAATTGAAAACATAGAAGTTAGAGTAACTGCATTTTTGCTTCTTAACATAGTAAAGCTTGTAGCTAAACAAGGTATTATTAGAAGTAATAAGATAACAGGAAGTCAGTGTGGACATGAAGTAGTGGTACCCAGAAGCTGGCAAGTAAGAGATCGGGAATGGGAAGATCAAAAGGCACAATGGCGATGAAGGTGCTGGTCACATTTGCCATCACAATCATGTACCTTTGGGCCATCGCGTACCTTTGGGCCAAAAACTATGAAGCATTAGAATTGCCAAGGCAAACTAATGTCTGGTTGACGTGGGCTAACGTTACAGGCCAGAAGGATTTTTGTATCAGCATGGCTTTGCCAGGAGATCCTTTTCGCACTTGCCTTATTGGGATGCTGTTGGTAGAAAATGAGACAGATTTTAGTCAATGGATAGATATAGCTCATTATAATGCTAGTTGTGTAAGTACGCAGAATGTGGAGAATTGTGGATGTTATTGCTCAGGACAAACCATGAAAGCAGAATTTACATGGCCATCTTTGAGAGGAGCATGCTGGCAAAGAGCGGTGGTTCAATCTTTGAATAGAATCGATCCAGAACTGGTGCAAGAAATAGATCTTTTGGCAAGCATTGCGCCAGTGGAGGTTGTCAACATATCTCATTTAGCCAGTTGTTCAAGAATGCATACCCCAGTACTGTACAATGGAACTGGACCTATTACATTCGGTGATCCTAGGATTGTATGGGTAGCAAAGCAGAACTCACAACGCATAATCCCAAAATATAAAAATGTGACAGGGAAATCATTGGGTTGGCCGGAGCTCAAGATTGGTACACTAGCAGTAAATGTTTCTGGTGGGACTTTACTTCCACCCAGTGTCTTTCTAATATGTGGGGATAGAGCTTGGAATGGCATACCACACTATCCCATAGGGAGACCTTGTTATCTTGGGAAATTGACTCTGCTCACACCCCACATGAGAGACCTCATTAACCAAACAAAGTCTAAACGAGCTCGTCAGTCTGTTTCATATTTTGACAAAAATTGTAATGATAAAGTTGAGCTGCCATCAATAGCCACAACAGTTGCCTTAGCCTTCTTTTTGCCAGGAGGTGCAGCAGCTGTAAATGCAAAAAACATCAAACGTCTTGCATGCTGGAGTGCAAAACAGTTTAACCTGACATCTTTGATGATTCCAGAGCTATTGCAGGATGTGGACAGCATTAGACATGCTGCCTTACAGAATCGTGCTGCTATTGACTTTTTGCTGTTAGCACAGAGTCATGGGTGTCAGGATTATGAAGGCATGTGTTGTTTTAACTTGTCTGATCATTCTTCTAGCATCCGTCAACAGTTGGCCGTTTTACAGCAGAACATGAAGAGGATATCCGTTTCCTCTGACCCATTTTTGGAATGGCTGAGCAGTTTTGGATTGGGAGATTGGATAGAAGGGTTGCTTAAGAATTTGCTAATGTTATTAATGCCTTTGATTTTGCTGCTTTTGCTTATTCCTTGTATTCACTGCTTGCAAGGATTTATCATTAGAACACTTGCATTTGTTTTTAAAGAAAAGGGGGGAAATGTAGAGGCCTGGGCCATAGAAACACTGTAACTGTAAATCTGTGTGAGAAAGTGTGACAGGAGGCATGCAGCTGTGAGATGGGAACGACCTTGAGCGCTTGAGAATAGAAACTTGGCAGAGGAGTAAAGAAGATAAAGAAGACACTGAACACAGCAAAATAGACTGGAGACGGAGAAATCTTAACCAATCATATATTAGCTTAGCCGGGGTGGGTAACACGCGCAGCCTATTAGGAGTCAGATAGACGTAAACATAGAATGCTGGAAATGTATAAAAACCTTGCTTTGTGTATAATAAAATGGCTATCAGAGCATCATATTGGTGTGCTGTAGTCCGTTCCTCGCATGGACCCCAACAGTCTGTACTTAAGCTTTGGGCAGATTTCCTCTGGGTGGATGGCTCTCATGTAACGTGGTTAACTTGGGGTTATATGGTGGTCTATATCTCTTACCTTTCTGATTTCATCACTTTCGTTTCGTGAAATCAGTTTCCTAATCACTAAACCCCATTCTCAGCATGGGGCAGGCCGATGCTCATCTTTTCAATAGTAATGTCAGTGTCCTTCAGCAGCTTTTAATTTATGCTGTTGAAAGGTGTGCTTCGTTTGGACTAGTTTAATATCCAGTGAGTCTTGAGGTTTGTTTGGTTGACTTCTGATTTATTTTCTGACAGGTGTGGGGCACTGACTGATTACAACTGCTGACTCGAGATGTTGCTTCTTAAATCGCTACTGATCTTTTATTGAAGGTTTTATTTGTTGGAGGTTTTTTGTGTGCTTAGTAATGAATCTAATAAAGTGCAAATGCAAAGTCCTAGAACATGAAGACAACCAACCAACTGTACAGTGGTTTGTAGAGGACAAAAGCAGTGCTGGTGACAGGGATGCCAAGGATACATGAGAGGTTTAAAATGTTAAAGTTTGTTAAAAAAATAAAAGTTTAAGGTTCTTTAGAATGCATTAGAATGTGGTACTTTTTCCTCAAAAGCTCCCAGCTGACTTTTGCTTCTAGACTTGAACATGACACTAAGTTGGAATTAGAGCTGTGTTTTCCAACAGTTTAGTGAGTTGAAGTATGTGCAAAGTGTTGGCACTCAACAAATTCCCCCTAATTAATTAATCATTGCTTGCACTGGTGTAAGCAACTGCAAAATGTATCACTGTAGAAAGATGGTACTGTATACCACTGAAAGTGGTACTCATTAAGAGTGGAGCATGCATGCGACATATTTTGGTTTAGTAGTGAATCCTGTCATTGCTGAGTGGCTGGCAGATGTATTGTAGGCCTTTGGAGCATTAGGTTCAGGTGGGCTATATGTAGCTAATGGAGAGCCATTCACCATCAGTTATTTCAACACCATTGTACCTACTGTTCTCTGTGTCTTTCAATGCAGAAAAATACTATAATGTGTATTTTTTTTACTTACTTTTTTTTTGGTACACAGGATATACCCCAGCGGGGTTTTGGGATTGATTATGACTGCGACTGCTTTGTCAAGGATGGGAGTCCGTTCCGTTACATCTCAGGTAGCATTCACTACTCACGGGTGCCCCGGTATTACTGGAAAGACCGCTTGTTGAAGATGAAGATGGCAGGACTTGATGCCATTCAAACGTAAGTGGCTGTTGACTTTCAAAGTGATTTGTAGTCCTAGGAGATATGGGAGAAGTAATGAAGTGAAATGCTACCACTGTGACTTGGTTCATTAATTTTGAAGAAATAGTTGAGAAAGCTCCAGAGAAGTGAATGGAGGTGCAGGATGACCTCTAACAACATAAACTGGGGCAATTGGGCAGGTTGTAGCTAACACTCTACTTCCCTGCTGATAGAAAACACCTCTTGCTTTACAACCCAGAGTACAAATGTGACCTGAAATAAATGGTTGGACTGTGAACTTTGGCAACTACGGAACAGTTGTACGTGCTCTGCCTCTGCCAAGGGTGTTGCAATCTCTGGTCAAAAAGTAGACAAGGTGAGGGGGGACAATAACCTCTTATTAGAGCCTATGTTGTATCTGCCTGAAGATTTGAAAATATTGGCAAATGCTGCAGTAATATTTAAAACTATTTCACCAGGAGTGTTTAAATTTAGAAAAATAGTTGGGAAATAGGTGTACTACTTTAAAAAAAAGACAGGTTTCAGTTGTGGGTACCAAACCTTTGATCCATCTTTCTTGTCTTTCCTACCTGGTTGCGTATTTATTACAACAGGTGAGACACAGGTTAAAAAAAATGCATCGTAGTCTTATGACAGCCTGCTCCCGTGCTATGGACTGCCAGACAGTGTGGCCTGTAGGCCACTTTGCTCAGCAGGAGTGTTGCACCATCTCTTCTTCCCCTCCCTTGAAACCTGTATTTTGTTTGACCCGCAAGTTGCAGGGTTGCCTTGTACGCTTGGGGGTGTAATTAGTAAGTGTTAGTATGTGAAGAACAGATGACAGGGAAAGAAGTTTCTTTTTTCTTCAAGTTTAAGGTTCTCTATTTTTCTGAAAGCCTTAAAACTCTTCCCTGTGTTGTGATGTTGTCACAGTTTGTTTGGTGGGTGTTTTTTGAGGTCGTTTATGTTGTTTTCTTATAAAGCAACCAAGTTCTGTCTTCCCTCACAATGACAGAACAATGGGATTAAGTAACACTTGCTCAGGACAGAGTTGCTGGACTTGCCCGTGTATTTATTTTTTGCTGCAATAAAAGTAACCTAAAATGGACCTGAAAATTGCACCTTTTGATGTCTGGCTTGAGGATCAGCCTGGGTCCTGACTGTGGCTCTGTGACTCCTATAATTGGTAGTGTCTCATACTTCCCTTATGACTCTTGATTTATTTTCCTCCTTCCAACACCCATCTGTCTTCAGCACCCTCTGATAATTTCCAGCTTTTTCAAGCAGTCCCTTCCTTTTTTCCTTTAAAATTGCCTGTTCTTGTCTCTGCTGCATCACTGCTCTTTAAGATACGAATCTTTTGTTTCTCATTTCCCCATCACTGTTGTTTAATGGAGACTGCCTGGTGTTGCTGGTGTTAACTGGTCTCTACTGGTGATGGGAAAGCTGAGTAGTTTCTGTTTTGGCACAGAAGGTACAGTACAGCTAACAAGTGTTGCCCTGTGGTTGTGTGACCTGTGGCCTTAGGTGGTGTTGCTGGATCAACCATGATAGACAGCAGGGTTTTTATAACCTCCTTTTCTTTTTGTAAGGCAGACTGGGATTCTTTAACTTTCTTCCCCATTATTTGATTTTCTTTGGATTTTTTCTACTATGGTGAAAGATAGCTCCTAAACGTGTATCTTCCGAGCAGGAAGTACCCCTGTGCCTTGCATTTTCTACAAGAATCAAATCCATGCATCTTTCCATTTGAAATTGATCTCTCTCTTTCTCTCTTGATGCTAAAACAAAACCCACCCACCAAACCCCTTTTGTTTTTCATTGAAGTTTGCCGATAACCAAGCCTTGCTCCTCTTGATTATTTGAGATAAAGCAATAAATTTTCATGTTTCCCCAAACAACTCTGCTGTGATTTTGTATGGTTTTGCTAAAAATGGAAATTGGTCTAGATGATTATTTAGTTGTGTTTTTGTTTTCTTCTCTTCTGCCTACTCTTTTCTGGATCAGTAAAACTATTAGCAAGGGACTGAAGTACCAGTTGTATGAAGACGTTCTGAAGTGGGCAGCAGCGCTGCCAGACTTCCTGGCGAATGTGGTAGTTGGACTCCCAAACCTGGGGCCACCTATGAAGACTGATTTTGCTGCTTGGGGTTTTCCCATGAGACAGGGAAGCGTGTTGCTGTAACTTGAAATATGAGAGCTTTCTTGTTCTTATCAAGGTACTCCCAGTGAGGTTTACCACTTCAAGAGAAATATGATCCTTTTATTACAGAATTATCCTTGTAAGTACCTTGTGGTCAAAGCAAGCCAGACCTGCTCTCCTTCCTGTTCTCATTTCCAAAACACTGTATGCCTTGATGGGTCATCATCAGCTCATGTCAGACTCTTGAATGAGTGAAGCCAGTGTATAAATATAACCATCTGCACCTGGAAGCATATGAAAACAGATGACAGGAAGCTTTATCTTACCTTAAAGCTTAAACTATCAAGGCCTAAACCTTCCAAATAGCAGGCTGAAATTTGATGTTGTGGTTAGCGTGACGTCCCAGAAGATGATGGGAGCATACCTAGGAGCTCGACTCCGTACCTCAGCAGGTAGCATGCAAAGGCATCTGGTCACACAAGGGAAACTGGCCTTATTTTCAGTTCCTGAACTGTGTCTGCCAGCTAGAAATGAATGGTATGGAAGACATCTGGAAAGGACTGAAAGTTCATGGTTTGTTGTGTGGTGGGTTTTTTTTTTGTTTGTTTGGTTTGGTTTGGGGTTTTTTTTTTTTGCATGGAAGAGATAAACAGTTAACCACTAGGTGGGGCTAAATATTTACAGGTTTTAGACATCAGTGGAGAAGCTTCCTGGAAGACTCCAGTTACCTTACAGGATCATAGAAAGTTAAACCATTTTATGTGTTTTGCTGTATTTGTTGACTAATGAGCAGAAAACTGTGAACCTGTAGAAATTTCCTCTAAGAAATAGCTGCTGTTTAGAATATTTATTAATTAAAAAATAGACACAATTCACTTTTTCTATAGACTAATAAATGTATAATAAGCGTGTATAAAATGCTGCTCTATTATTTATGAAATTATTGAAAACTATTTAAGACTATTCAAAAAACTCCACCACCCTGGTATTACAGATAGACTTACCCTGTGCATTAAGGTAGTTAAAGTGGGTTTATTTTAACTGTTGACATCTCTCTGAAGTAGGAGAGGAAAACTGTGACTTTTAAAGAAAAGGAAAGCTATAGGATAAAGCTTAGAAATGGCATGTAAATGAAAAGTAGCTGCTATTACTCGAATAGAGAATAAATACCAAGTCTCAAGTTTGAAACAGGAATGTGTCATTACTTAATAAATTCATTGTTCTGTGCCTGAACCACTACAGCATTAACTACTAACTATAAATTTGTATGATAGTATATAGGCATTATACTTGCTAATAATAACAATTTCAAAGTAAAATTATTTAATTTGAGGCCATTGCTAGCTTTAGAAGATGTAGTGGAGGATTGAACTGTATTAATAATTTTTAGACCAATGTTTAAAATACATTTATATCATGATTCGTTCTGTAAGAAAGTATTGAACGTGGACTTTTTTTTTCTTCACTGTCTTCCCTTCTCTGCTAAAATCTGGTTGTTTTTTTTTTTCCCAACCTTGTGGGGAAGTATGGAACATAGAAACATTCTTCCAGAAACAGTTTTAATTTATCTTCTTCCATCTTGAGTGTAAGAGAGCTGGAGAAACCCTTTTATCCCCACCTCAGACACTATTAGGCATATGTAGACCTTCAGACTTGTTTCTGGAACAGGTTCCTAAAACTCTACAGTGAGTATATTGTCATAAGTAACAGGTTACAAGCTGTAGTTAAATTACAGCTAGAATGCTTTTTTCATATTAACCTGTTATTAAATTACCAGTTACAAATAAATTGTTCAGTGGCCTGAGGAGAGAAGAGTATAACCACTTGTTGCTGAGTATAAGCAGTTTCTGCAGTAGTATTTTAGGCAATGAGAAGCTGTTATGAAGTTAATACCTAATTATCTTTATTTAGCTCAAACAGGTGCAGCTCTCTGCTCTCTGCATTTTTCAGTGAATGAGTTGCTACCTCAACATGCTTGTTAATTCCTCCCAGAAAGAGCTTTGCCTCTTACTGCAGTGTCATGTTGGTGTTTCACAGTCAGTCGGTACTTTTCCGTGGAACCTGCAGACCCTTTTCCTATTAATACCACTTCCTTATGCCTTCTTTCTCATTTTGTGGGGGGTTTTTTTGCCTTTTACTATGCAGGAGAGAATTAAAAAGTGGTAGCTTAATTCCTTGTTGATACTAGACCATGTTGCTCATTAGTTAACAGCATTTGGAATCCTGATCGCGTTCCCCATTTGCAGAGTACACTGTGCGTTACATCACCCAGATGTCAATAAAAGCTGTGGATGCAGTTAGACCTGCCAAAGAGTCTTGGGATGCTCCTCCCCTGAAAATTCTGGGTTGTTCTTCTGTTAGATTTTATTCTATGTTAATGTTATACTAACTAGCCTCTTAATTCTTTTTTTTGTTTGCTTATAGGGATGTTGTACAGCAGAGTACCAAAAGCTTTGCTAAGTCCAGAGAGATCACTTTTTTTCCTTTTCCCCAATCCTTTGGCAAGTTTTCTTGTGAACAGATGGAGTTAGGTTTATCTGTCCTTGACAAATCCATAGTCACATCTGTATAACTTAGAAGAACTCTGTATTTCTAAGCAATAGTTTTGAAATTAACATAGCTATTATGGCTTAGATTAAACTGAAATTATTCTGCTGCAGTAACCTGGATAATGGCATATGGAACAGGGAAAAAAAGCACAGTATGATACTCTTCTATTGGTTTCTTTGAGGTAGGTTGGTAATTTGTTTTGTATAGCTTTCTACTTTATCTACTTTGATCTTAAATGGCAGCAATCGGCTTGCTCATCTGCTTGAAATTTAGGCAAAGTGTACAAAACTAAATTAATGTTAAATCTATTTTCACATGGTTCATATATTCATTAAATGTACATTTAGTTTGTTCTGCCAGTGAGTTAATAGAGTGCTTCAGAAACAATTAGAGCAGATTGACAAAGAAAGAACATATACCATGTGGAGGGAACAGTTTGCATTTTGATGACTGAGTGCATTGCTTTGACTCCATCCTGGCATACAGACTTCAAGCTTTATCTTTTCAAACAGAGCATTGTGAGGCTGTAATATTAACTAATATGGCTGAAAGTTTATTATTTTTGTATTTAGTGTTCATGTGCATGTATTTCTGAGAGTGGCCATTTCAGTAGTGTGCTCATGTGAGGGTTCCTGTTTTTCTCGCTTGCTGAAAGCAGTGTTTTCTGCACTTTGCTTTGGGTAGTTCTTGCAAAACTAACTCTGGAACATATAAACAAACCCAGACAGTAAGAAAAATGTTGCCTGAGAGGATCTTTGCTTGACTAACCACCGTTTTGGTTTTACAGTTTCTTCTCAAATTTGTTCTCTCTGGAACAGTGGCAACATTTCTCTTAGAGATTAGGGATTACAAACCCATGTGTGAAAAGGTAAATGCATGGAGAATTAGTTTTACCATTCTCTCAAATCCTTGCTCAGGCTGTGAGCATCCCTAATTTCAATGTCCGTCTGTGCTACAACTGCTGCTTAGCGCTATCCCAAGCCAAAACTCGCATGGTTGCCAAGCAAGGGCCGTAAGCTACAACACAAAGCATAGGAGTTGGCTGATAACATGTTTCTTTGTTGTCTTGCAACCAAGCGTATTGTTTCTTCTGTGAGATGTTCTGTGGTGTGGTTGTGGTTTCCTAAGTCCTGGAAGCAGGAGAGGTGTTCTCTCAAATGGTTACCTGCTTGTTTGGCAGCTTTATTACTTGGTCAAAATCAAGTTTTACTTTATCGAGCCTCCTGAGCACTTTAGCATCTTCTAACTTGACTGTTCTTCCCGTGCTGGTTTTCCAGAACCTGTGTTGCTCCTGGTCAGTGTAAACTTTCAGGATCTAGATGCAATATCTTTTGAGACTTAGATATTTTTAAGTTCTTTGTAGTGGTAGCAGCATGGACGTGTCAGCCTCATTGGTGTTTCCTGTGCAAGCTGGGTGATCCATTCGCAAAAGGTCATGCGCTGCTTTGGGTAAGCTCATTCTTGACCACCTCCTTTGCGAGTGGTTTGTGGTGTTCATCTCTTCACAAACTTACCACTTGCTAACATCAAAACTATTAACTACTTAAAATTTAGGAGTGGACATCATGGTTTCTAAATGTCACTACCAAAACCTTTTCTTGCATTGATATTGACTCCTGCAGACATACTGCAAAGTACTAAGCCTTATTTCAGTATTAATTTTAACACCTTCTGCCATTTGAAATACCTCACAGAAGAAAGGCCGTAGAGTTACTCTTGTATTTTACTGATCTGAAGGCCAGTTCGGTATTAGAGATTGGGGAGTGTAGTACAAACAGTTGTTATTCAGAGTTTTGGTTTAGTCTCAATTTCCTAATGGAAGGTGATCTTCTCTCTTTATAGGTATGTGCCGTGGAACTACCATGAAACCCAGCTGGACGTGTATGATTTTTCTGGTGACAAAGATCTAGAGTATTTCCTACAGCTTGCTAACAACACTGGTTTGCTGGTCATCCTGAGAGCCGGACCTTACATCTGTGCAGAATGGGACATGGTACAGCCTTTTGTAACTTATCTCATTTCTAGAGTAAATCTGATGCAGACATTTCTGTCTTAAGGTAGACAAACACAATTGGTGTATCCTTGGTCAAGAGTCTTGGTTTAGTGTATTAAAATCCATGCATTCTGATTGACTTACTATAATACAGGCTTACTTTGTTTTTTCATTGGGAATTATTCTTTACTTGTAGAATATATGTTTTCAGGTCTCAGAATATGTTTTGATGAAAGGCTAAATTCTTCTTCTATTTCCTAAAATTAGTCACTGAAGTGATTCCTTTTTTTTTTTTCCTAGGGAGGTCTTCCTGCATGGCTGTTGGAGAAGAAATCTATTGTTCTCAGGTCTTCTGATTCAGGTAGAGGCATCAAAAAGGACTAGCAAAAATACACTTCACCAGCAAGGCACCTTGCTGTTTGAGGCCCTTACTGGATAATTCATATTTCAGCTTAACTTATCTTGTGAGTAAAATCTTCAGTACTTTTAATAAGAAGTGTGCATTCAAGAAGTATATAGAACAAAGTAGGGTAGAAGGTTTCCAAGGTATTGACAAGTTTAATGAAAATTAGTGCCAAGAAAGAAATCATTGTCACCATTTAGGAAAATACAGGTAGCTCTCTATTGAAGTCTCTCTGGTGATTTTCAAAGTTAATCAGTATTTAAATGTTTAATTTCTTAGTAAACTGTATTGGAAGCTGACATTTATGAACAAGTGTAAGACCACATCAGTTCATTAAATGCTATCTGTTATACTTTACCTATTTAGAACACAAGGTAAAAATAATAAAGAAAAAATATTTTTATATATTATATTTATATAATATAAGTAAATATAATTTAAAATAAAAACTAGAAAAAAGCAGAAAAGTTGTGAAACATTTTTATTTTATGTATCACAGATTACCTGGCAGCAGTGGAGAAATGGATGAGTGTCCTTTTGCCAAAGATGAGGCCTTACCTCTATGAAAATGGAGGTCCAATCATCATGGTGCAGGTAGCTTCCTGAAAATCAAATGAACCCAAGCATCATGGATACTTATATTGCTTTTGCAGACACTCCATGGGTGTTGGACAGTAACATTGCAGGTGCTCCTTAACAGTTCCAAGTAGCTGAAAGATTCTGATGAAATCTCTTACCCTAAAGAACCGAATGCACTGTTTCCAGAATTCAGAGAGCACTTGTCTGCTCTATCACAGTTGTTTCCCACAGCTATAAAAAGCAGTAGAGGAAACTTGTGGAGCTGTTTAGATATGAGTTTCATGCCAGTTCTCGTGTAAAGCCACAACACACAATTGCCTGAAACCCTCTGACAAGAAAAAAGGGGTATAAGGTAGAAGCAAATGGAGTAAGCCCACAACTTGTGACAAAAACAGCCTCAAAATTAAGGACTTAGAAAGCCTTAGAACGAAGGCTTTTTAATTCTTACCACCTAAGATAAGCTGTCAGTGTTTCAGGACACAATGTGTGTTTGTGGTGAGTAGCCTATATCTTAAACTCCTAGATGTGCAGTGGAGATTGTTCCATATTTTTAGTACTTGACCATAACAAAAGCTTTGTTTTAGTTTTTATTTTTTTAACTCCCTGGTTGGCACAGGATGGGATAGGTGACCCCTCTTATAATATGCCCAATATCATTGTTCTTGAGCAATGTATTGCATTTGCTGTTGAGCAAAAGCACTGGGCATAATTATTCCTTGGCAGGAATAAGATGGATTTTCAGAAATAACCTTCAGGTTTGTGTGGCATTGGATCTGGAGCTTGAAAGTCCATCCCCTTGGGAAAAGGGCAAGATGCAAACCTCTCAGTAGTAGCATAGTTGTCCTTCTCCCCTCAGTCCTTTGAGTCCATTGCAGAGCTTTGCTGTTGGTGTGAGCCCCTTGTAGGTGTCTCTGTTCTGGAAATTCAGTTTTGCTGCAGATTTGATCATGTCACAACCTGTTCTGTGGTTTTATTGTTCTGCTTCGGAGGTGCGCCATAGCTCTCCATTTTTAATAAAGTATTTTGATCACTGTTGCTAAGGAGCTAAAGTAGAGATTTTTATGTGGAAGGTGATTTTGCAGGAAAATGACTTCTCTCCACACAATGATTGCTCTACTATAAAATACAAGTGAGAGGAATGAGTGTCTAGAAGTGTTGCCTCCTCTTACTCCTCAGGTGTGGAGTTCAAATGACATTTTCAGCATTGCTGTCAAAGGAAGAGGGTGGTTAGATTTGGGCTTTTGATTTTTTATATCAGATGGAGGCTGAACTTGGCTACTGCTTTACTGACTTGCTTTTACTGTGCAGGTAGAAAATGAGTATGGAAGCTACTTTGCTTGTGACTATGACTATCTGCGTTCCCTTCTGACGATCTTTCGCCAGCATCTTGGAGATGAGGTGGTGCTGTTCACAACTGATGGTGCAAGTCAGTTTCACTTGAAGTGTGGAGCTCTTCAGGGTCTTTACGCAACAGTGGACTTTGGCCCAGGTTGGAGACTGCAGTTTGTTACCAAAAAATCCTGTTGTATGTGTGTTTGTGGCAGTACAAACTGACTACTTGACAAATCTGATGGCTTTGTTTAGATGGGATAATAGAATCATAGATTATCTCAAGTTGGAAGGGACCCATAAGGATCATCGAGTCCAACTCCCTGACATATGTATTTGATGTACTCTTAAGCATACAAGAGTCACCCACAAGTACCCGATCATAATCACTTTCTCACATCATGAAACCATGAATAAACAATTGACGCTGCTCATAGTGCATATCTCCTAAAAATTAGCAGTGATAGTTGGCTAAATGATTCCATTTATTTATTTATTTATTTAAATCCTGGGGTTTTTTTGTTTTGTTTTATTTTTTTAATGTACTCTGCCCCAGAATCCACCCCTTATAGTTAATTTCTTCTTAAGCCAGTGGTTACTGGAAAAAAAATTACTGCTGAAGATCATTAGAAATGTGCACACTGCCACACTTTGCTGTGATACAGGCCTGAAAAATGGCTAGGCAACCACAGTGTGTTCAGAAAGTACCCTTTTGATAGAAAAGGAAAGTTAATGATGTAAATGTTCGTATGCTGCACAAACTTGGCAATACAGGCTCAAGGCACAAGAAGCAAACTCCAAATAGATCTTGCTGTATTTTTTGTAAATGTGGCCTCTTTTGAACAATATACTCTTTACAGTCAAAGATTTGTGCTTAGCAGAAATCTGTTTTCTTACAAGTAGATTGAAATTGTGAGCTCTTTCGTGTGTGTCATTTATGAGATGTTAAGCTACTCATGGAAGTAGTTATTTGCAGTCCCTATGGCTTGAGCTCCCAGGAGTCATCAGAAGTGAAACTCCTCTCTATTGGCTTCTGTTCTTCCCCATAGTCTCAGTACTGCAACCCCAGGCCTGTACCCATAGGTTCATTGTGGGTTTTCAGAAGGCATATCTCAAAAGTAAAGACATACATGCATGCATGCATATATGTATGTATATATTTAAAGTAAGTTCTGCAACTTAAACATTGGAATCAAAAATATTGATTCATATGTTTTCAGAGTGAACTTTCTTGTCTGGATTTTTGCTAGGTTTTGGAAAGGAGATAAGACACTTATTTCAGTAAAGTGAAAGACTGAAAAAGTCATGGGTGTAGCAACTCAATTTTATTTCTGTCTGCTTATAGGTGGCAATGTCACAGCAGCGTTCTTAGCTCAAAGGGGCAGTGAACCTACAGGCCCTTTGGTATGTCTTTTCACTTAAATTTCTTGTATTCTTAATCTTGCAGAGGTTCATAACAGAGGAGTTGACAACAGTGTTTTGGACTGTTTTAGGGACATGTTTATGAAGACTTGGTTTCCAAGTCAGTCAGAAAAACTGAACAGATGAGATTCTGTGTGTGTTTGTCAAATACATATTAACTGCTGTTCTACAGACACTATTCTAGCTTCAAAAGGTACTGATTTTGTTTCAGTATTTTTGCTTGGTAGGAATGTTTACAAAGCAACGGAAACAGTAAGTATGATTAGATGAGTTAGTGAGGTACGTGTGTGGGTGGAAGTTAAAAGCAAAATTAAAAGGGCAGGTTAGAAGTTGCTTCCTGTTTTCAGCTACCCTAGAGGTTTTGCACAAGCTATAATGGGATGTGAGATCACTGGAAGCCATTTTGACACAGAAGGCCTGTTGAAGGTACAAGAAATGAAATTGTGCCCTGTGTGATGAAATTGGTTAGAAAACAATTTGAATATTTGAAAGATTTATTTTTCATTGCAGTTAGTTTACATAAGCTATTCTGCAGAGATTGTTTTGGTTCCATCACTTATTTCAATGCCAAGCATCTGAAACACTTTCATAACATTGACAGGTTCAAAGGAAATTAATACTCTTTGGTGCTTAAGCAGTTATTTTCAAAGTGTCTCTACAAAGTTATTGAAAAAATCCTTTAATTTCTTTGACCATTAATCTACTGAAAAGGACTGACTTAGTGTATACTTTGCTGTATTTATAGTAGTTTAAAAATGGCTCGAATGAGTCAAGGTGCCTTTTTTCCTTCTCTCTTACAGTTAGTAACCTTAAATCACATTGCATTTTCTTCTTGTTCCCTCTTCACCTTTTCCCTTCCTCTTTTGCCCTTCCTCCTTTCAGGTTAATTCTGAGTTTTATACTGGATGGTTGGATCACTGGGGGCACCGTCATTCTGTTGTGCCCGCGCAAACTGTAGCTAAAACACTTAATGAAATCCTGGCACGTGGTGCAAACGTTAACCTGTAAGTGTGCATTCAGTTAATCTGGGGAGGGATTATTCTTTTCTCGCTTCATCAAAACCTGATTTAAGTGGATGGGTTTTTTTCTTTTTTAGGTACATGTTTATAGGCGGGACTAACTTTGCCTATTGGAACGGTAAGAAATTATTTAAAATATATTAATGATGATGGGGAGTTGTTTATGAATTAGGTAGTAATGTGTTCTGTGAAAGAATAAGCTATGCCTGCTTTCACATGGCAAAAGATGGTTGCACCAGCTGTTCTGTCTATTGCCAGCACGTTGTACTAAACCCACATGGTATTTATCTTTGCAAAGGCTACTTCTGCTTCACTCAGTCCTGTGAAACAGTTGAAACATGAATATGTTTGGTTCTCTTCAGAATATTTCAAAAGATTGTGTAACAGAGCAGTGTGAGCTCAGAAGAACATTTTCTTCCATCAAGAATAGTTTCTCTATGCCAAATCCCAAATACATAGGCCTACGTTGCATTTGAAGATGTAGCAGAATCTGGCTGTGGTTGGAAAGAATTCTGAAAGTTGATAAGTTTGGAAAAAATCCAACTCTTTCACTGTTTCTGTTGCTTTTTCCCCCCTCCCTTAGGTGCTAATATGCCCTATATGCCACAGCCCACTAGTTATGACTATGATGCTCCACTGAGTGAAGCGGGGGATCTGACAGAAAAGTATTTTGCCTTGAGGGAAGTCATTGGTATGGTGAGTGTCCCTAGGACATGTATAGAATGGTTCTTTGAAACATCCCTTGTGTACTGCAAACTCTGTTGTATTGGTTTAAGTTACTTCTGAATTTACTATTTTCTGCGGATAAGGGAAGTGAAGTAGAACAAGGTGATTAGGCCAACCTAACTGCTTGTTGTTACAAAATGAGAAAGATCTTGCACCTCTCTGTATCCTTTCTGGCCCAGTGGCTCCCTCCTTTCTTTCAGAATTGGGGATGCAGATGCAGGTGTGACACCAAATTTATTCAGCTATGCTTTTTTGCTGTGTTTTTCTTTCAGCTCAAGGTCAATAAGCCGAATTGGCCGGCTCAGTCAGATGAGAGCCAGTGCTGGCACAAGGGGAGCAGAGGGGGGCAGAAAGGGCTTGGCTAGGAGTCGAGATGGAGGAGGAGTGAACAGAGCTTTTCCCTTGCAGCATTGATCAGCCATTTGGTCAGCTCAGGCTCATTGCTCGATGTCAGCCTGATACGCACTGCAGCTTAGTGCTTTGGCTGGCTGCATCCCAAGCTTCACTGTTGTGGTTTTGGGCTTCTCTGAGATGGAGCATGCTTATCCAAATGAACATACCTTGTTTTTGTGATGCCACAAACTGCAGCTAGTGGGTGGGACCAACTTTGCCTTTGCTGTAAAAAAAAATGCAGAGTATCTCTACAAACTGGAGATTGAAGTGAAGCATGGAACTGGTATCTGCATTTAGAATAGCCTTGCATTGGAGGCAATTCAGATGAGACTTAAAACCAGATTCCATGGGAATCCTAAGGCTCAGGCTTGTACTCGCTGTCCTGTTGCATGTCAGCAACATTCCTATTCACTTGAAGACTTTTTTTTTTTATGGGAGTAGATATCCCAAAAGTGTATTACACTTTCTCTAGGGTTTAGCAGACCTTTATCTCCTTACCTGTCGAAGACCTGCTCTGGACCATTTTCTTCAATTTCTCCATTATAGCTAAGCTTTCCATTGATGGGATAATTTTGATAGTCTTGCAAGGAGAACCTTCTGTCTTGATACAGCTTTTCTCACCAGAGAAATTCTAAAATTCCTGTTTTTGAGTTGTTTTCTTCAAGGCAAGATCCCTATCTGAAATGCAAGTAGTGTTCTAGTGCACTAAGATAGCTTTGATAAGATCTGAAGTGTTTGGTGTAACCTAAGGTGTGTTGGGTCATGGTACAGCTTTTTTTTGGTGTGGTTCGTTTATCTCTTACCTTCCATATCCATAGGATCTCAGTGAAGTTTTCCTGTGTCTGCTGTGGGTTCTAAACCTGTAACAGTCTAGCTACTCAGTTGCAGTTTGAGGTGGAGCTGATGTAAGAAAATTAAGTTGCCTGTAACTAATGACTACATTAAATATGTTATAATGTGCTAGCCTTGTAGAACAGATAATCTTTCTTAACTATTTCCTTCAGTTAATAAATGTAATAAAGAAGAAGGATTTCAGTCTACAGCTGAATTGCTGACAGCGTTCTCTGATTTTCACTATCTGGGCTGAAATTTCCTACTTCTGACTACTACTCTTGAGTGAATGTAGCTTTTCTTTTTTTAAGCCCAAATATTTTGATTATTTTCAAATACAGAGAGGAAGAAATGAACTTGTTTCCAGAAATAGAAATCGGGCTTTCATCAGACTGTAGTTGAGATTTGACAGGAGGGCATTGGGAATTACCTGCTGTTGTCTGTTTTTTAAAAAAAAAATTACAACTACTAAAGCAAAAAGACTAAACTTGTCTTGGTGCAGAGGCAAGCTTTTTAGCGTGAGTTTTATGCTGGATATACCATGTGTAAACCCAGCAAATCATGCCTTGTGATAAAATTTTCAAGCTGAAATCAAAGTAAAATCTCTTAAATACCCTTTCAGCCCCTCACCAAATTTATTTTTTTTAAAAAACACTAGGAGCTGCTAAATTAAGCACTCAGAAATCACTGAATGTGCAGATAAGGACAGCTTTCACAAGAGCATTCATTTGTGCATGTGTAGTAAAGTGTCAGAGTGTTTCCCTGTCACATTTCCCTATGATTAATTGGGCAGTTGTCTAGGCCAGGACCGAGAAGGAAGCTAAGGTTGAGACCTCAAGGGTTGATGGAGCTGTGGGGGTGGCTGTGGTCTCAAGGCCTGATTCTCAAAGAAACCAGCCGAGTGAGTAATGGGTTAGCAGGTGATGGTTAAGTATAGTAACACTGAAAGGAAAGGCACAAGAGGTTAATAATTCCCATATGAAAGTGCTAAGGGAGGATCAGGTGGAAATACAGCCCTACAGACTTGGAAAGGTTCACTCAAGCTCCCATGGACTGGGGAGACTACTGCAGGAGGGTTGTAGAAGACAGTAATGCAAGCTCTAGCCACAGGAGGGCTTCAAGGGCACTGTGGTTCTTTGACAGCTCATTTGTTTGCTATGCTTTTTACCATTATCTCAAGCTGAATAGTTACTAAAAATTGTTTACCATATGTGATCTCCCATATGAGGAAAGGCTGAGAGAGCTGGGTCTGTTTATCTTGGAGAAGAGGAGACTGAGGGGGGAATCTCGTGAATGCTTACAAATATCTAAAGGTTGGGTGTCAGGTTGGGACCAGACTCTTCTCGACTGAGCCCAGCAACAGGACAAGGGACAGTGGTCACAGACTAAAACACAAGAGGTTCAACTTAAACGTAAGGAAAAACTTCTTTACTGTGAGGGCGACAGAGCACTGGAACAGGCTGCCCAGAGAGGTTGTGGAGTCTCCTTCTCTGGAGACATTCAAAACCCGCCTGGATGTGTTTATGTGTGATCTCTAAGTGATCCTGCTCTGGCAGGGTGTTGGACTGGATGATCTTCAGAGGTCTCCTCCAACACCTACCATTCTGTGATGCTGTGGTCAAGTCAGATTTAAAAAAAATAACAAACTGCCCTCCATCTTAGACTAGATGCAGCTGTAATCCTTTAGCACAGTGAGATTATCTACTTTTAGCCAAAGTTCTACTTTTATAAGTTGTGAAGTGAAAAGTGAGAATTTGGTTAAAGCATGTTTGTATTTAAATTTTGTGTGGGTTTTTTTTTTTCCTCCTTCCCTTTCTAGTATAAACAGTTACCAGAAGGTCTTATCCCTCCGACAACACCCAAATTTGCATATGGGAAGGTTCGCTTGCAGAAGGTAAATGAACATCTGTAATACACTGTGTATCTTTCTGTAATGCTTATGTTTGCTTTTTGCAAAAAATGTTTATGAGGGTGTCATGGCAGTCTCTAGGTATCTTACAAAATAAAGAGAAAAACCTTGAAAGCAAATTTTCAGGGAGCAGAGCTTGGGAGTTAAGAATTGTGCCCATGGTGGAAAATGAGAAAATGTATGTTATCTGGATATAAAAAAATAATTTTTACAATATGCAGTATGTGCCTGAAGTTTTACTAAGCTGAAATTGATGTATTATTAACACAACAGAATCATACTTGTCTAAGATAACTCGTGTGTGAGTAATGTACCAAGGGGAATGGTAGCATGAGAGCTATGATCAAGGAGTGTTGTTGTAGCCGGTGATACCTCTGAAGTAGAAGCAGCAGGTAGGATATACCTGCCTTCTAAATACTTCTAGGTGTTTAAAGTTTGAATATGGAACATTTATCATAAAGACTTCCAAATTTATTGAAACTCTTTTTGCAAGATTTGTGAAAATCTGTAGCTGATGAGAAAAATTAAATCAGTTTCTTGCAAAGGGAAAAATACGCAGAACCTAGCCTGCAGAATCCAGCCTTGCTACATCCTGTCTGACAACAGTGTGACCGGTCAGCACAGGAGTTGGTGGAGTTAGCACTGTCATTTTGGGACCAGTGGCAGTTCTCTGTGAAACAGAATTTAGAACTAGGCTCTTGTAGTGAGTGTAGAGGGTGGTTTAAGGGAGGATGGAAGAGACAACAGGAGTGAACTTGGCTATATTCATTCTGCTGGGCACAGACAAGTTGTTTTGAGGTGGAGGATTAGTGCAGTTGATGTACTGGGTACTGTAATTCATAATGCTTTGATTTTATTTGGCAGCCACTTTTTCCAATCAGAGATATATCTGATCTCTTATGCGCTGCAGCTGAAGTGTTCCAAAGTTTGGTAGTGATATGGCTTTGCAGGCATTTTCAAGTCATCTCACTCAAGTGGTGGGCAGAAATACTTTTATATAAAAGTGATTCACCAGCGAAGTTGAAACAGATCTATATCATTTTCAAGAACCTTTGAGTTTCTTCAGGTTTTCTAGGGCAGGAGTTGCTGTATGAGATTTCACTGAACTGGTTTATATTTCGCAGTGACTAATTATCTACCGATATCAGTACACCCACCACTTCTACTCTCATAGATTGCCAGTGTTTGGGAGGCTAGCAATCAGATTTTGACTCTCCCATCTTCTCATGATTAATGGCTGTCAGACAGGGCTGTCCAGTTTCATTACAACGATGAGCTTTCATGCCTTCAGGAAATAAATGTTGCAGGGTGCGTGGCGCAGACACCTGTCTTACAAGGGAGGAACCAGGTGACTAAACTTCCTCAAAATTTGCAGCTTTGACCTGGCAATCACACTGGAAACCCTGTTCCTGCACTTTCTCACCTTCTACACTTCCTTCTTTTTTGAGAGGAGATGTTTTACTCTCCACCCAGCAGTTTTTAGGAATCCAGATGGTATCTCTAAACTACCAGGTGTGAGGTTCCTGTCAATGCCTGTACAGATACTGTCATCTGTACCGAAAGCCTCTAGAATTATTTTCTGGGAAGAAGGCTGCTCTTTGCTCTGTGAACGCATTGCTTAACCTCAGCAGCAGTTTACTCTGCTTGATTACCCTGCAACACAGGATGAATCTCAAACCACAGAGGGTTTGTACCATCCCAGCCAAAGTCATCCTCTCAGTTTTTTGATGCATTCTAGCCCCTGCTGGGACCAGATCCAGTGCACTTTGTAGGTGGAGAAGCCTCGATGTATTTGGGTGAATATCAGACGGGATATTCGAAGTGCTAATACTTGCTTTGGTAATAGTAAACTTCTCGGCTATATTGTTTGCAGTAACAGTGCTAAAACAAGTACTATGCGAAGCTTCACTATGCAGTTGAGGTCCAGCAGTCAGTTTGCTATGTAAAGCATTGAATCTTCTGCAGTGATCCAACCCCCTTGACACTTCTGCAGAAAGGAAGAGAGAAAGGAGACTCTGGAGTATTTTCAGGAGTAATATGGTGTACTTTACAGAAGTATGTGAAACTGGAGCAGTCAGTTCTCTAGTTTTTTCCCCCACAAGATACTCTGTGACAATTCAGTCCTTAAGTACCTGTTCCACTACTCAGGACTTAAACTTGAGGAAGAGAGATTTTTTGCCTTTAGCCGTGCTGCCTGCCGTATTTTCTGGTTTTTGGAGGTTTGCAAATAGGTTGCTCTAGATAAAAACAATTGGGGAACCTAAGCTAGTTGGGGAGGGAAGGGAAATAAAAAATTAATATTAAAAACAAACACCCCCCAAAACCAATCAGTCAAACAAAAAAACCTCAAAACTCCCCTGCTGTTCCCTGATCAAGCAGTTGTTCATTTTGAGCTATTGAATTATTTTAAAGAATTTTCCTGGATGAGGAAAAAAGGTAATTTATTAAAAGTTGCTGGGGACACTGACATTACTACAGAAGAGCAGAAGACAGAAAAGCAGGTGATGAGGAAAAATTCATGTTGCATAGATGCAAAAGAGAAGTGTTGAAGATGAAGAATGAGAGCAGGCAAAGGCAGAATGGAAATAGATGTGCTCAAGAAAAGTGAGCAAGATTACAAGGTTTAGAGATTTAAGAGCCAGAATGTGGGGATCATCCTTTCCAGAGGGAAATGAATGAGTATTAGTGCCTGCAGTGTGGCTGTGTGGGCTTGTGAGTTTCTGGTCACCTCTTGAAGGGTCCTGAGAAGTGCTCAGTCACAAGGAGATGTCTGCCCCAGCACTGCAGCCTGCGGACTCATAGGTTCTGGCGTTGTACTCAGTCTTGGGCTGTGGAGAGCTCAAGCAATAGCAGGCGATGCTGATGTGAGTTTGGGGTAAAATGAGGTTAAGCAAACAGGATGCTAACAGTTGATATAATTCCTGTTGGAGGTATTTTTTCTTTTTTTTCATGCTTGATCTTACACTTTGGTTTCAAAGACCTTGCTCTAAAGGATAAGAAAGTATTGCTATTTTTTATTAGTAGTTGTCTGTTGTTTTAAAGGCTGCATTTTTAAAAATTCTTGACAGTGGTTGAAATTTACTGTTAAGTTTCTGTTGTGATACCAGTTGTCCACTAAGTAACAGTCAACAGGAACTTGCAGCAAGAGCAGATCTTGTCTTGTTTTGTTTTTGTACACACCACTTAAAGCTGAACAAAAATTATCCATTGAAGCTTCAAAGAAACAATCTTCTACCAGCCCAGTCTGTAAGTGAATCGTATGTGATCGACCTGTATTTAGAACAGCCCCCTTGGCAGCAGGAACTTAAAAAACGTCACACAGGCAGTGTACAGGCATGGTTCAGCAAGGCATAAAGCAGCACTTATTGCCAGGTCACTCATGCAAGTGACCTTGGGCGTCTTAATACTGCTTACATTCATTTCTAATTTCATTGTCCACCTGGGGCCAAGTCTGTTAATGCTGGCAGGATTGTTGTTTAGTTCTGTAAATCAACTCTGTCAGTGTCTGTGCAAAGATACTCATCTCTTGCTTCACAGCTGTTATACAAGACCTGGCAGTTCAACCTCTCCTGTGGCTTGCCAAGTCCTGAACGTTGCTTTAACATTACCGGCTCCCTCAGAGGAGCACAAGATAAGGAATGGAGCACATACACAGTCCAGAGAATTGGGCGAATTTCACTTCACAAAAGCTGATTGTTATTTTAGGTACAATGTTTAAACTGAAATTATAAGAGTAAGCTACTTTCATCAAAATCTCGCAAGCCATCACTTGACTGATGGTCTTCTTGCCAGCTTACCTGTAGACTAGTGAGTGTAACCCAACTTCTAGGTAGTGATGGCATTACTGTCTGTATACATATGGCCTCCTTTTGCTTTCTTGTTCCTAGCTAAAGGGTTGAGATAAGCTCATTTCAAAGTCCATTTAGATTGATGTCTACCTGGTTGTTGCGGATTAACCCTGGTAGACAGCTAAGCCCTACACAGCTGCTCACTCACTTTCCCCCAATGGGATGAGGGAGAGAATTGGAAAGGTAGAAGTGTGAGAACTTGTGGGTTTAGGTAAAGACAGTTTAATAGCAAAAACTGCACCCACAAGTAAACCAAAATAAGGAATTCATTCACTGCTTTCCATCAGCCGGAGGGTGTTTAGCTATCCTCAGGGAAGCAGGGCTCCCTCATGTGTAGTGGCAAGACCTGGCAAGACAAACGCCATAACTCCGAACATATAATCTCCCTAACTTCCTCCTTTTTCCCCTAGCTTTTATTGCTGAACACAACATCATACAGCATGGAATATTCCTTTGATCAGTTGTCCCAGCTGTGCCCCCTCCCATCTTTTTGTGCACCCCCAGCCTACTTCCTGGTGGGATGAGAAGCAGAAAAGACCTTGACTCTGTGTAAACACTGCCCAGCAGTAACAAAAACATCCCTGTAGTATCAACACTGTTTTCAGCAGAAAGCCAAAGCATAACTGCATGCTAGCTGCTATGAAGAAATTTAAATCTATCCCAGCCAAAACCGGTACAATACTGAAGAAATAATTTTGTGGACATAGATGATTCATGCTGATTTCTGTCACATACAGGATGCTGCACAATGATGTGCATTTTAATATATAATTTACTGTTTCAGCACTGCTGAATTTCATGTGTGCTCTGCAAAAATGCCATACTTCTGTTATTGAAGTAGCCTCAGAAGTTTTTATTGCTGTGAATGCTCTTACAGTGTACAGTTTGACGTTATTTTAAATGCCTATTTTTTTACTGTTCTGTTTTTTTTTTCTCAAACATTTGAAAGTAAATCTGCATTTGAGAAATATTTTGCATGTCTGATGTGTAATTACCACTGAAGAGTGACAATACTTCTGGTGAAACAGAATGACATCTTGCATGAAAGATATGAATGCAATTGATTTTTTGAGCTTGCAGGACACTAGGCATATTGTGTACATCTTGACTAATGTAAAATTGGTAGTGGACATAGAGCATTATAGATGAGTAGAAAACTCTATAATTGCAAAATGGAATTGCAGATGGCAACAAAAGGCGATTTAATTGTACACATGTAAGTCTTTATTCACCAAGTTGCTTATGCATGTGACTAGTCTAAACCTTGCTCCCAGTCTCCCTAAAATCAGTCCAGCTACTTATATCTGACGCTGAATTACCATAGGGTTTCTAAAATAATTTAAGACTAAATAGGGTAAATTAATCTTGGATAACTCTTGATGGAACCAAATTATATCCCTACTTAGCTCAGAATGACTCCAGAGTAACTCACTTGAAATCAGTGACATTTTCCCTAGCTTGACTGTAAGTATGATTGAGCAAAATTTAGATAATACAGTTGTTTTGTATTGTCCAAAGCAATTGTGTATGTTTGTAGGATCCTTGTGAGAAACTTCTGGGTTAATTCTCATTAAATAATAAAAGGTGAGTTTTATTTTAATGAATGCATAGCAAATTTAGAACATCTGGTTTTTAAAACATTGCTCCACACGCAACATCTTTCTCAGTTCTCTGTACTGCGTTGTATTATTGATGTGTCTGTAAGGATGACGTAAGGGCTTAATATTTCTTTGCTTTCTGGACAAATGCAGCTAGCTGGCTGGTTATACAGGCTTTTGTATTTGGATTGAAATTTACTGACCACCTTCATACATCTGCTTTTTCTATGCTGCAGGTGGGCACTGTGGTGGAGGTTCTCAACAGGCTGTCACCTGGGGGACCTGTGAAAAGCACCTACCCATTAACCTTTGTGCAGCTAAAGCAGGTGAGGATTCCTTCGGTAGGCACTTCGCAGTGATTTTGTAAATTTTATTTGAACAAGCCTCTGTGGTATGACTCTTCTTATCTCAGCACAGAAGTAGTAGTTTTAGAAAGGTGTCCAGGATTTTTGCATTTCTGTATTCTACAATGCTCCTGTTTTGCACCCAGTTTTCCTTTCCATGAATGTAGATATATATATGCTGTTCAGGCTTTCACATTTCTCTCTCTCTTCCCTGAAGTATTGATTTTCAAGTTCTTAAGATACCTTTTTTTTAAAACCATCTTTTTCTTCACTATTAATTTTCCTTATCCTGTTTTTTCTTTGCCTTTCCCCACCTGCTATCAGAGTGAGCACAGTGGCTGAGACACTGCCTTGTCATACAAGTCAGGTGGCCTGGATATTGGGGATGCAATCCGTTTGACACTTCTATGAGCCCCCTACTTATTGGTAATCTTTTCCTTTACTACATGTATGGGGAGGCAAGAGAATGTGGTGAGAGAAACCTTTGGGAGCAACCTCTTGGAGCTGTTGCAACCTGCTGTCGAGGTCCTTCACTCCACTGATTGAGATAGGAAAAATACCTTTCTCTGCATTTTCCTGTCGCTTCTGCTGACCCCCAGTCTCTCTTATGTTCCATCTCTGTTAGTCTCTGCATCAGTTTCCCTGTTGACTTTCCATATCTTCCCTCACAGTCAAAGGTCTTTCCCTTCCTTCTGAGGGACTCTGCCTTTCCATTAAGCTTGCATGGCTCCTTGATTGCTTTGTGCTGAAAAACTCCTGGGAGAAGAGGGCAGCCAGTGGAGCTTCTAGCATATTTTTAATTTTTTTCTTCCCCCCCCTTATTTTTTTTGGCACCTCATTGTAAATGTAATACAAATATAATAATTACAGCAGAATGGAAATGGTTTACTCTCACTTCTTCCTGCTATGGTTATGTTCTAATCCATGTCTTCAAGATAAATGGTTTTGTGGCTACTGAGTGAAAGAGATGATGCATTTTTTGACTTGTTTTTTATTTATGTTTCACTTTATGATGAGAATAAATCCAATGACTGTGACTTTTTTTTTCCTTTCCTGATGAGGAACTTAGTAAAAATATTCTGAAATTTTCCTAATGTAAACAAGGTAGTTTTTAAAAGAGATAATATCAACTTGAAGGATATGTCAATTTATGGGTACTGAGTGACAAGTACACTTTCAAGTTGGCTATATAAACTCAGTTATGAAGGGATTTTCCAGCTATCTTTTAATTAATTTAACAAATAAATTTTTATTGAGGAAATAACTTCATAGCTAAGTCCCTTAGCTTTTAAAGTTATGTAAATGTTCTGATGAAACATTTAAAAAACTCTGTGGAATTTACACCCATTAGTTAAAGGTCAAAGTAAACTCCAATCTGCAGCTGTTATCTGTGATAGATGCTATCTGAAGTGTATGAAAGTTAACATTTCAATCCAAGTGCGTAGGCAGCGATGCGGGATATTTCTAATTCATGATCTGAACTGAAGCTACAGAATGACTTTGTTCATTAATCTCTTTGGATTTTTTTTCCTTTTTTGTCTTTTCTTAGTATTTTGGATTTGTACTGTACAGAACTACACTTCCAAAACACTATATGGAACCTACACAACTATCTTCACCTTTAAATGGAGTCCATGATCGTGCCTATGTCTCTGTGGATGGGGTAAATATTGTTTCCTGATAGTCATTTCTGCTATGAGTGGCCTTCACAAAAATCATGTATGAAGTCTTTTTTTTTTTCTTCTTTCTCCAGCTTACTAAAATAACTTTATTAGATAATCTCATTTAATCAGGTGAAGGAAGTAAGGAAGTATGCAGTTGATTCATACTAAATGTTCATAATTCAGAAAATATTGCTACCTACTATTTCTAAGGAAAATGCAGTTGTTTCCATTTTTGAGATGTGAATGTTGATACAGATTCATGACTTCAGTGGGGGAAAAAAAGAAGAAATAGAAGGAGTTACTTGCAGGACCATGAAATACATTAACGATGTATATGCTTGGTGGCTTTCTACAGTGTTTCCATAGATCTGTTTTTAAATTCTTTTTCCTCTCTTTTTTCTTTTTTCTTTTTTTTTTCTTTGAGGATAGGGGGAAGCATCTTGCCTTGTGAAACTGGTTTCTGAGCACAAATTTAAAAAAAGTTTGTTGCACAGGATGTGAACTTTACCTTTCTTCCCTTAAGCAGGGTTTTATTCCTTCTTAATGGGAGTTAATATGAATTCATGGATTTTGATAGCCTATTTTTTAATTATTATTTGACCTGTGCTGACTCTCATCACCTTTGTGTCTGGGTCAAGCTCTTCTTTCCTTATGTTGTGGGAATGGGAATAGATAAATGTCTCTGTTTAAGGCTCAGGGAGCAGGATTTTCTCTCTGTTGACCCCTACCCTCCCAGGGAAGGATTAAAAAAAAGGGAATACAGAAAAAGATGCTTCGCACAAGGTTGGAAGTTAAGACTGCAACAAGTTTAATGAAAAACAACAGGGGAAAGGAGAAGGGAATTAATAAGGGGCAAAAGATATTTAAGTATATGCAAAACCCGATCCCA